GGGGCAGACTTGGTGAAATGGGAAAATTAGCAGCTTTCCTTGCTTGGTAGGATATCAACTATTAAGATGAATATTTTGCCTAGAATTTTATATCTGTTCCAGACAATTCCAATTAGATTGGGGAAAGATTTTTTTGGAAGATTTGAATAAAATGGTGTTAAACTATATTTGGGAGGGGAAGAAGGCGAGGATAAAATTAAAGTTATTACAAGATGCTAGAATGCGGGAAGGCTTTGGTTTACCTAATTAGGAACTTTATTATCAAGCAACAAGCCTGATGTGGATTAAAGAATGGATACCTTTAGGAAATATTAGATTATTGAATCTAGAAGGACATGATTTGTTGATGGGGTGACATGCTTTTTTATGGTATAAAGGAACAAAAATACAGGGGTATTTTAGAAGACACTATATATGTGAGGCTCTGTTATTGAATTGGGAGAAAATTAAAAAAAAACATTATTTGAAAATTCCACTCTGGGTATCTACAATTGAAGCATTTTCATATTCAATAGTATTCAGACGGGAACAAATTGTTAGATATAGTGAATTAATGGATGAAAAGGGTGAACTTAAAACAAAGCAAGAATTAGAAGAACAAGGTTTCAAGATGGATTGGCAAACTGGTGGTAAAGGTAAATAGAACCCACCCCTGCCTTAATCCATGCTAAAGGTTACCCAACTAAGGATTAACTGACATGGTGATATTTTTTGTATATCTCATTTTGTCTATGAGTTTCACTTTTCTTCTTTATACATTAACTGCTATTCTAATAACAAATCCTTCATAAAACTTATTGCATTACATTCTTGATTAAATTATCTTCCCATTGATATATAATTTTACGATACTACTCCTAATAAAGTGGGGTTATTAGCTAGTTTTAGAAAATACACTTTCCCCAAAAGATTTCCACAATTTTGGCCACTATTGTAGATGCTGGGACTCTCACTAAAAAAGATGCTCCAAGAGAGAACCAAATTAATTGGGGTGCCAGTAAAAGAACGGGGAAGGATTACAACCACTGCAGCAAAGTGAAGAGGAAAAGTTCTTTAGAAGGTATAAATTGTTCTGTGATGTGAAAAGAGACACTTTTCTCCTTTCTCACAAAGTCATACAAGTTTCATCAAGAAACGTCTATGGGCTCAAACCAATGAAATTTGGGACTTCTGACTCCAACCAACACCAAAAAAAAAAAAAAAAAAGGCAAGGCAAGGCAAATACAACAGCATGACCTTTTCTGAAAATTTCCCCCATGATTTTTCTGACAATAGACTCATACCCAAGAGCTACCAGCAGCTCCTGGCCGTGGTATTTGCAGTCAGAGAGGTCAACAAGGATCTGGTTCTCCTCCCCAATATCACACTGGGGTTCCACATTTCTGACAATAATCAGATTGACAGAAGTATTTCAATAATCAGCCTTTCCCTGCTCTCCACACGAGGCCGAATGATTCCAGGTTATAAATGTGACAGGCAGGACACTCTGCTCTCTGTCATTGGTGGCTTCATACCCAAATCTTCAAGACAGATGGCCTCCATCTTCAGAATCTACAAGGTCCCACAGGTAAGGGGGATTGGTGGGATTCAGCCAATTCGCACCACTTCAGGAGAACCAGTCATTAACTTTCTGAGCATTTGGCAAACTGATTGTTGGAAGAAATCATTAGGGCAGAGAACTAGTTGTTAAATTACTTGAATCCCACCACTGGTAAGGGCCATCCAATGTTGGATACGGACACAGACAAACAAGAGAAAAACAGAGAGAACCCAAAGATGCTTACTGGGGCACAACACAAATATGTGACTTAGAGAATCCACATGACAGTTGGATTTATTTTTATGTTCAAGATAATTTTTTATATAACATGACAATCATTTAAATATGAGCCAGCAGTGTGCTACAACTGCCAAAAAGCCAACACAGTTCTGTGGGAAGTTAGCAGCCACCCCTCTCCTAGAAGAATGAAGTATTTTAGGAAATATATTAAAAAAGGCAGAATATTATATTTTCCTGGATGAGAAATGGAGAAACATGTTTTAAACACAAAGCAGCTTCCTGCCTCCCGCCCCACCTGCCTCCCGCCCCACCATGTCAATGGGCATATGAAGCACAGTTGCAGGAACTGCGTATGTCTAGTTTGATGAAAAGAAGGACCAGGGGTGACATGATAGCAATCTTCCAATATCTCAGTGCCAAAAAGAAGAGGGAACCAAACTAATGTCTAAAGCCCCTGAGGGCAGGACAAGAAGCAATGGATGGAAACTAATCAAGGAGAGAAGCAACTTAGAACTAAGGAGAAATTTCCTGTCAGTTAGAACAATTAATCAGTGGAACAACTTCCCTCCAGAATTTGTAAATGCTCCAACACTGGAAGTTTTTAAGAAGAGATTGGATAACCATTTCTCTGAAATGATATAGGGTTTTCTGCCTAAGCAGAGGGTTGGACTAGAAGACCTTCAAGGTCTCTTCAAACTCTGTTATTCTATGATCAATGTAGATAATGAGATGTTTCCTAAATACTGACTGTGCCAATAGGATTTTTTTATGTAGAAGTCACTTCCTAATTAACTAATACTTTAGCCCCCCATTCAGTGCAATGTATTCCATATATCAGGTGAAGGGTTTGTATCTTTGTCTTCTGACCTGTCCCAACCAGGCAAAATATGTAACTTTTCATTCTTCCTAAGAAGGAAGAAGCTTAAGCTTGCCAGTCAGAGTGAATTGGATTAACTAATAAATCTATTTTTAACTGTAACTTTATGTATAAATGTTTTTATTTTGGCTGTTCACCCCCCTGAGTCCGAAAGGAGAAGGGCGGTATAGAAGTTTGAATAATAAATAAATAAATAAATAAATAATGGGGCCATCAACCATAAAATGGTGACCCTTAAAACTTACCATAAAACTTACTTTGTCTTTGAAAGAAGAATCTCTTTTTCTCCAGCTCGGTGTTGGCTTTGAGTTCTCTCAGGGAGAGAGAAGAGTTTATCCTTCCTTCTTCAGGATTAATTCCAAGGAATTTCCTCAGTATGTGGGTTTAGTCCAGCTGCTCCTGTATTTCCAGTGGAACTGGGTTGGGCTGGTGGCCAACAATGCTGACAGTGGAGAACATTTCCTCTCATCTCTGATGCCAATTCTCAAGGAGAAGGAGATCTGCTTGGCCTTCACTGAAATATTGAAATCGGATGATTTTCTCAGTACATGGAATACATTTGTTCTTTTTTTAAAAAACTGTTGTCAAGCTGAAGTGATTATTCTCTTTGGAGACCCTCATACTAATGCGAATATACAGTCAGCTTTGCATTTTCACATAACGTCAACAAAGTCACTGCTTCAAAAAGTTTGGATCCTAACTTCTCAATGGAAACATAATGTGGGGGCAATTAAAGATGCATTTCCACTTATAAAGCCCTTCCATGGGGCTTTGCAGTTAAGGGACCACACAGGGGATATCTCAGAATTCAGCCATTTTCTCACATCTTTAGACCCTTTGAACCCAAAAGGGGACACCTTCCTCCCACAGTGGTGGGAAAAGGTCTTTGACTGTGAGATCCAGGAACCAGGAATGTCCATTCCAGAGATGATGAAGAAATGCACAGGAAAGGAGAATGTACAAAATGTGGCCACTCACATTTTTGAAAAAAGCATGACAGGTGAAAGTTACAATGTCTACAATGCCATTTTTGCTCTGGCACATGCATTACATGCGATGTTTGGATCCAATGGCCAACCATCCATGATGAGACTTGGAAAGAGGATCTCAAATGTCCATTCATGGCAGGTAATATCAGAACAGCTTAGAGAATTATATTAAAACAGTATAATGATATGAAATAAGTACCATTGAGTCTAAAGTTTGCTTAGCAAGGCAGGTAAGTGAGTTTTGACACAATTCATGATGTTTTTTGCCACAGTTGTTGAGTTGTAGTCATTAAATGAATTCGATGCCCCTCCCAATGTCCAGTTCATCTTTGAGGCAATCCCAAGGTGCCAAGTTGTTGTGAGAATTTTGGGCTGAGAAGGTGATAACAGGCAAATCCCAGGTGCCACGATCTCGCTCCTCCAGTGGTGAGAAAAAAGAGATGGCCAGAGGCACATTCTTCCCCCTTCCCAACTTCCCCAAAGGTTCATCAAAGCAGAGAAAGGAACAAAGGAAAACCCCATATAAGCATATCTCCAAACCTTCTCCCTCCCACCAGAATGCCAAGGTCCCCATAGAGATCAATGGGACCTGACACAGAATGATAGAAGCCATGATGTCTAATTTGTAACTTTCTGGTTGATTACTTTAATTTCTGAATGTTTCCTTCCTTCCAGATCCTTGCCTATTTGAGAAATATTCAGTTCAACAACAGTGCTGGAGATGAAGTCTCCTTCTCAGAAAATGGACTCGGGTCTGCTCGATATGATCTTCTCAACTGGGTTTTCCTCCCCAATCAATCTTTTGTCCCTGTGAAAGTTGGGCAAGTAGATGCTGGGGCTCTCCCAGGCCAAGATTTCATCATTGACTCTGATAGAATCGTCTGGGCCACAAAGGTGAGATGGAAGGAAATGCCGTAAATTTAGGGAAAGATTCATTCTTTCCTGGGGATGCAGAATATCTTTCTAACTGGAAACAGAACTATTGAATTAAAAAACATGCGGACATTTGGTGAGAAAGCTTTGCGTGTAACTCAATTGAGGTAGGTATGTGGCAGGTCTACAAAGGTTTGGGATTAGAAGGAACTTCTGCTTGAAACCCAGGATGCAATTGGAGGAGACAAGACCAATTTCCATGGTGTTAATCCCTCAGGAGATGTTCCTGGTTTCTTGTAGAACATGGTGTATCATTTATTTTGAAAACCTTCTGAACATGGAAAAAGAAATGTGGAAATCAATAATGAAGCATGTTCACTGCGTAGACCATCTCAAGCATTTCTCTTTTGCCTTTTAGAAGGTGCCCTTTGCCAGGTGTGGCATGAAGAGGTGCCAGGCAGGAGAGAGGAGAAGAGTTCCAGAGGGTGAGCAGTTTTGCTGCTACCAATGTGACTCTTGTCCAGAAGGGACTATTTCTGATCAGACAGGTAGGCCACCTGTCAAAATTAGTTCTTCCATGAACAAGGAAACCATTCAGCAGATATTAATATTTGTTCACGTTAATTAATTCTTGGTAGGATTGACATGCTTCAAAGTATCCATAATTCTCATCTTAGTTTATGCATTTTAGTTGATGGAATTAAGCTCAGCCTACAGGCCGACTTCCTTCTCCTAACCAACTTAATGCAGGGTAATTTCAGTAAACAACATATGGGAACCCTACTAGCCTTCCTTCCCCTACATCCCTTTGGAAGAATAGCTAGCAATCTTTTCATAAAGGACAGGAATGTGAGGTTCAAGCTTTAATTTTTATTATTTAGGTGGTTCTTTTTTTCAGCACTACTAATCTCCCAGGAAATTGATAGATCTATAGGAAAAATAAGAGATTGATCGATTCCTAGTTTCTCTCACTCTGAAATGTACAGTAGGCATTAATGTGCCTAGTGACTGGAGAGACCCTTTATTCAAGAGTAAACAGATCAAACAGCTGAGGCTGAACAGATTCTTGTCTCTAACCTACCCTCAATGTCTTCATGAAGGGTTATTTCCTCTTTTTTTAAAAAAAATATATTTATATTTATTGAGAGTTTTGCATACAGTAAAAGTCAAATACAAAGAAAACATAGAAAAGAAAGAAAAAGGTGCAAGAAAAAAAGTTTTTTCCCCTCTGACCAAACAAATCGACTTTGCCATCTCAGCAAAAGTTCTGACATTTTCACAATCCATTCCTCCACTGTGACAATTTCATTATTCTTTCATTGTTGAGCATATAGTCTTGCTGCAGTTACCATATACCAGGGGTGTCAAACTCGATTTCTTTTTATTTAATTTTTATTTATTAATTTTTATTAGTTAGAAAGTACAAACAAACATAGATACAACAATAAAACATACATAACAGATAAACATGAATCAAGTCTTTAAGACCTCCTTTTCAAACTTGTTGAATCGATAGACGATAGACAGTATATATAAAATAATATATATATATTTATAATTCTTCTCTGATGTATCTTTTATATTTCTATTTCTAGTACATCCTCTTTTCTGATTTTCTTAATCTACGTATTTCATTTACTATATTCCTTAATTAGTACTCTGTTTTTATTTATGAGTTTGTTCTCTCTTTTGTGTCCCTATTCTTCTTTTCCTCTCCTTTTCTCCAACCAGTTATATCATTTCTACCATACGAAATGATAATCTGCTTCTTGCTTTTCCTTTATTTCCTTTGTAAGTTTGTCCATTTCTGCACATTCCATAATTTTGCTGATTATTTTTTCTTCTGTTGGTATATCTTCATGCTTCCAATTCTGGACAAAAATTATCCGTGCTGCTGTTAGTATGTGAATAATTAGATATTTTATTTCTTTTTTGTAATGTCCTGTAATTATTCCTAATAGGAAGGTTTCTGGTCTCAGTTCTATTTTCTGGTGTATAATTTCCTCTATTTGTATCTTGATTGCCTGCCAAAACTGTTTTGCTTTCTGACAAGACCATCAAATGTGGTAGTAGGTTCTTTTTTGCAATTTGCATTTCCAGCAAGTTTGGGAGATATTCGGAAACATTCTTGCTAAACAAGCTGGGGGGGGGAGGTGCCATTTATAGAACATTTTGTAGATGTTCTCTTCCTCTTTTTGATCCACTATCTAATACACATAGTTTATTCCATCACTAAGTCTGCCGGTTGCCCACAGGAGAAAGGAGGCAGTCATGTCACCCTGATAGGAGGGATAACGCTTATGGCAGATGCCTCTGAAATCCTTAAACAAAGACTCTTGATTTCAGATGCTGCCCACTGTGACCTCTGCCCAGAAGACCGATACCCCAATCAGCACAAGGACCACTGCATTGCCAAGAGGATCCACTTCCTTGCCTATCAAGACACCCTGGGATACACTTTATTATGTCTCGCTCTTTTCCTCTCTATGATCACATTGGCAGTGCTGGTGATTTTCCTTAAACATCACGAAACACCGATTGTCAAGGCCAACAACCGAGATCTCACCTACATCCTCCTGGTCTCCTTAATGCTCTGCTTCTTCTGCTCCTTCCTCTTCATTGGTCGACCCAGAAAGCTCACCTGTCTCTTCCAACAAACTTCATTTGCCATCCTCTTTTCCCTTGCAGTTTCCTCCATCTTGGCAAAAACGGTCACGGTGGTTCTGGCCTTCATGGCCACCAAACCTGGGAACAAGACAAGGAAACTCTTAGGAAAACCACTGACCAACTCCATTGTCTTAGGGTGTCCCCTGGTCCAAGCAGGCTTTTGTGCCACCTGGCTGGCAACCTCTCCTCCATTTCCTAACGTGGACTTCCACTCTTTGATAGGAGAGATCATCTTGGAATGTAATGAAGGCTCAGCTTCAATGTTTTATGCTGTCCTTGCCTATCTGGGTGTTTTGGCCCTTGTCAGTTTCACAGTGGCTTTTCTGGCTAGGAAATTGCCTGACAGCTTTAATGAAGCCAAATTCATCACTTTTAGCATGCTAGTCTTTTGCAGTGTTTGGATCACTTTCCTCCCCAGCTATCTGAGCACCAAGGGAAAGTCCATGGTGGCTGTGGAGATCTTCTCCATTTTGGCCTCTGGAGCTGGTCTTTTGGTTTGTATCTTTTCCCCCAAATGCTACATTATCTTATTGAGACCCGATCTGAATTGTAAAGAAAATATAATGAAGCACAGAAATCTCTAATTTATATGGGATTTGGGAATTTTTATTTTGGCTTGGGTGCATTTTGACAGTTGTCCCCAGAGAAGACTTGGTAATGAACATGGAAATCAACATTGAGATTAAATAAGTGGCTAAGAGTTTCCACCTGTACAGTTTCTTCATTTATTTTTATCAAATCAGTTTTAAAAAATGGGTTGGATCCACTATCAATGTTTTTAAACATGTTTCTTCCCATAGAGGTCTGAGGTTTTGCTAAGTGCCCTACTAACATTTTCATTCAATAGACTATCAGGTTTTTTCATTCTAGAATTAAATGAGTTATTTTAACTGTTAACTTAATAGATACTTTATTAATACATATCATGTGAAATAGACATTAATGGGTATTTCCTAATGGGTAATTTTCCTAACCCTAATAAGTTACTCTTTTATAAAAGTGTTAAATGTATTAAAAAGCTATGATGCTCTTACTTTTGGAAACTGATCACAAATCATAATTAGTCAAGACAAAGTGTATGACTTGCTAAAAGCTCCCTTGGAGACAGAAACCTACGTCTTGAGCAAAACTGTTATCAGTAAAAAGGAACATTTGCCCAAGGTGATGTTAAAAGTAAACATGATAAGATAGTTGTTGTTAGGCAGGAAATGTCAAGATGACCCTTTAAAGTGTAAAACAACTTGAAGAATGACTTAGGAGAATAAAGGGGCATTGGGAGGGATTCTTAGGAGTGGTGTGCATTGTGTAGGAGTATAAAATGTATAGCTTGAAAACTGCTTTTTGCACTCTTTGAACTCAATCCATTTGGGATGGATCTAAGAGGCCGCGCTTGCAACCACTTTTTATTTTTCTTCATTTTATCTCCAATAAACCTTTGATTTTGTGAATCAGACTTGTTTATGAATTGTGAGGATTAAAATATTTGGGCCTTATATCTCACAGAGCTTAGAAACTGGTTATTTGGGAAGATACATATTTGTGTAACTGTATATAGAGATGATGGTATGTTGTCTAAATGATTTGCAGGAAATATTCTATATAATTGGTATACACACTTCTTGTAGCTATTTTCATGGGTTCTTTTAAATATCTGAGTCAGTGGGCTCCAAAACATAAGAGAGACAATCCAACAACACAGGCCCTTAGACAACACATACACAAACTACTATTCATTACTCACCACTAGTCCACTTTTCCCCACTGCTACTACACCTCCTACTATTGCTCCTCCGACTACTAGTCCTTGTGAGTCTTACTATTAGAGAAAAATATCTCATTCTAACAGCTTTAGGCTGCTTTATTTGTACCCATGAACCCTTCCTTCCTTCCTTCCTTCCTTCCTTCCTTCCTTCCTTCCTTCCTTCCTTCCTTCCTTCCTTCCTTCCTTTTGAGTTCAGGGGAGGAGGAAGAGGAGGGTCCTGGCACCTCAGGGAAAGAGGTGCACAAGAAGAAGTGGATTTCTCAATTTTTCTTTTATTGAAAAGTTTTACAAAATGGAAATACAAAAAAGTTTTCCCCCCCATTCCCCCACCCTTTCCCCCCCTTCATCCCACCCTCCCCCCGACTTCCCAGAGCAAAATACAAGGTATTTCATTTAATCAAACATAAACTAGATTAATCTACTTATCCTCAAAGTACTGCATCCCCCACCGAAACCTGAACTCCACTACAGATAACCAAATACTTCTAATACTAACATTCATTCATAAGCTATTTGATATTTTCTTGTCTGATACTTATTTTGAATATAATCAATCCATCTTTTCCATTCCGATATGTATCTTTCTTGTGTGTGGTCCTTCAAGTACGCCGAGATTTTCGCCATTTCTGCTAGGTTCGTTACTTTCAATATCCACTCTTCAATAGTAGGCAAAGAGTCCTTCTTCCAATATTGAGCTACTAGCAGCCTAGCTGCTGATATTAAGTTCAAAATCAATTTAGTCTCTGAAACTGTACAGTCCGTAATTATACCCAATAGAAACAATTGAGGAGTAAATTTCAACCTTCTTTTCAAAATGTTCTGCATCACCCACCAAATTTTTATCCAAAATGCCTTGATTTTCTTACAAGTCCACCATATATGATAATAGGTTGCGTCATTACATTCACATCTCCAACATTTAGCTTGCAAATTCGAGTACATACATGATAATTTCTTAGGATCTAAGTGCCATCTATAAAACATTTTATAAAAATTTTCTCTCAAATTTTGTGCTAGCATAAATTTAACATTTCTGACCCAAATCTTTTCCCACGTTTCCATCGTCACTGGTTCCTGAAAGTTTTGTGCCCATTTTATCATACAATCATTAACCAATTCAGTTTCTGAGTCTATTTCCAGTAATGCATTATACAACCTTTTAATATGCATCTGACTTTGATCTCTAATCTGTTTCGCCTCATTTTGCATAACCCCAATTTTTTGATCCTCCCTCCATCTAGCTTGGAGCTGACCATACTGGAACCAAGTATAAATTATCCCTTCTTCTTTTAATTCATCTAGAGATTTCAATTGCAACTTGCCCCTTTCCAAAAGAAGAAGCTCTTTATAAGTAACCACCTCTATTTTTTGCTCTGTACTTATATTTTCTATTGCATGTCTGGGATTTGCCCATATAGGTATTTTATAGTTCAGCTTCACAACTGATGTTTTTAAATTTTACGTGGGAGAAGACCCGAATAACCAAAGACCTACATACAAACACCCATGAAAACCTGGGAAAACACACATATGTGTGTGTGTGTGTGTGTGTGTGTGTGTGTGTGTATGTATATGTATATGTATATGTATATGTATATGTATATGTATATGTATGTATGTATTTATTGATTTCATCACGTAGTGTATATTGGGATAGTAACCCGTTGAGAGCTGTATACAATGAAATTTCATTTTAATGTATGCTGATTAATCTACATTCAGTGACAATAACGTTATTCTAAGTCATATCTGAACAAATTATGGCACAAGTGCTCAGTTTCATGTAACTGAAACACCCAACTTCACCTTGACTCTCAAGTCGATTTGCTCTGTGAATCAGCAACAAGAGATATAAACATGTTTTTCCCCTTCTAGCGCCAAGACAATATGTCAGAACAGTAAATGTTAATGTATCCCCTGTAGATTTCTACCCTCACAAATCTTTCAAGTTAAAACCTGTTATAAAAAATATGCCCCTAGTTCTCCCAGTGGAGACAGGACATGTCTGTCACCTACTGTTGTCTTGTAAATAGCAAACTTCTGGGTTTGCTGAGACTCAGCTGGCCATTGCTATTTCTTTGGCCACAGCCTGAACACAGATGAAAGGAAACATGGTTGATATAAATTTTCTCTGAGGCCATCCAGGTAGAATGGGTGGTGCCTGTTTTGCTAAAACCTTGGTGAGATTTCAAGTGCTACCTGCAAGTTGGCTTCTCCAAAAACCTTGACTGATGATCTAGGAGGGAAGGTGACAAGAATGACTGGGCTGCCTCTCCTCCTCCTGCTGCTGCTCTTCTGGCTCCTGCCTCCAACTGCTGCTAAGAAGATGCAAAGTGTATGTGTGTTGAGGAACTATTTCCAGTCACAGGAAAGCTACTATAGGCCTGGTGATCTCATTATTGGTGGAACTGTGCACCTGGGAATAATTGATCGTTCCATCATTCCAGACTTCCAAAGAGACCCATTCTTTTTTTTGATAGAGTTGGAAAGTGTGTAAGTCTCACCTGGAGGGGTATGATGTAGATAATTATTTCTTTGTTTTAAATTCAGGGACTCTTTTGAAAAATGCCTGTTCTGGCATCTAGTTCAAATCTTTGTCCTTTCCTCCGTAAAGAGCCTAATTCTTAAAATAGGTAAAATTCTCTATAGAGAAGATTTCATCAGTAAAGAATAAAAGTGAGGCAGGACAAGAGCTTAGAAATTGTGCTGGCCTAGTGAAGAAGTTGAGTTCTAATATTAATTGGGAGAGAAGGTCATGGTGAGAAGCTTAAGGAGAAGCTCAACTCTTTTCCAGTGTCCAGGAGTTACATAAAAAGTGCTCAGTTTTTGAATCAGCAGGGCTGACAATCTTTAAAAAATACAGTAGTGGCCAAAACTGTAGAAACCTTTTGAGAAAAGTGTATTTTTTAGGTTTGGTGGCTAATGACACCACTTTTTTTATTTTTTGGAGTTTCAGGGTAACAATATTCCATTGCTGGAATGTCTTGGGAATAGCCTAGACTTTCATCCAATGGAAAATCTTTGGAACTGACTAAGGAAACTTGTTAGTCAAAAGCGACCCAGCAATTAAACGAAGTTCCTAGAACCAATCTTGGTTTCACATTATAACAGCTGCAGAACTAAAAGACTTGTCTTACTCCATGGGAAGATGTTGTAAAGCCTTAATTCAGTGGTGGGTGGCCCCGGTTCAGACCGGTTCACAAGAACCGGTAGTAAAACTGGCGGGTGGTCCCGGCAACCGCCCTGTATGTTGTCATCAGTGATCTGTGTATGCGTGCAATCCTGTTGAGAACTGGTGGTAAAGGTAAGTAGAACCCACCCCTGCCTTAATCCATGCTAAAGGTTACCCAACTAAGGATTAACTGACATGGTGATAATTTTTGTATATCTCATTTTTTTTCTACAAGTTTCCCTTTTCTTCTTTATCCATTAACTGCTATTCTAATAACAAATCTTTCATAAAAGTTATTGCATTACATTCTTCATTAAATTATCTTCCCATTGATATATAATTTTACGGCACTACTCCAAAAAAAGTGGGGTTATTAGCTAGTTTTAGAAAATACACTTTCCCCAAAAGGTTTCCACAATTTTGGCCACTACTGTAGATGCTGGGACTCCCACTGAAGAAGCTGCTCCAAGAGAGAACCAAATTAATTGGGGTCCCAGTAGAAGAACGGGGAAGGATTACAACCACTGCAGCAAAGTGAAGAGGGAAAGTTCTTTAGAAGGTATAAAATGTTCTATGATGTGAAAAGAGACACTTTTCTCCTTTCTCACAAAGTCATACAAGTTTCATGAAGAAATGTCTAAGGGCTCAAACCAATGAAACTTGGGACTTCTGACTCCAACTGACACCAGGAAAAAAAAAAGGCAAGGGAAATACAACAGCATGACCTTTTCTGAAAATTTCCCCCATGATTTTTCTCACAATAGACTCATAGCCAAAAGCTACCAGCAGTTCCTGGCCGTGGTATTTGCAGTCGGAGAGGTCAACAAGGATCTGGTTCTCCTCCCCAATATCACACTGGGGTTCCACATTTCTGACAATCAAAAGATTGAGAGAAATATTTCAATAATCGGCCTCTCCCTGCTCTCCACACAAGGCCGGATGATTCCAGGTTATAAATGTGACAGGCAGGACACTCTGCTCTCTGTCATTGGCGGCTTCATCCCCAAATCTTCAAGGCAGATAGCCCCCATCTTCAGCATCTTCAAGGTCCCACAGGTAAGGGGCATTCAATGTTGGATATGGACACAGACAAACAAGGGAAAAACAGAGAGAAACCAAAGATGCTTTACTTTGGGGCACAACACAAATATGTGAATTAGAGAATAAACATGACAGTTGGATTAATTTTTATGTTCATGTGTCAGGATAATTTTTTATATAACATGACAATCATTTCAATATGAGCCAGCAGTGTGCTGCAACTGCCAAAAAGCCAACACAGTTCTGTAGGAAGTTAGCATCCACCCCTCTCCTAAAAGAATGAAATATTTTAGAAAATATTAAAAAAAGGCAGAATATTATATTTCCCTGGATAAGAAATGGAGAAACACAAAGCAGATTCCTGCCTCCCGCCCCACCTTTGTCAATGGGCATATGAAGAACAGTTGCAGGAACTGGGTATGTCTAGTTTGAAGAAAAGAAGGACTAGGGGAGACATGATAGCAGTCTTCCAATATCTCAGGTAGTGCCAAAAAGAAGAGGGAGCCAAACTAATCTCTAAAGCATCTGAGGACAGGACAAGAAGCAATGAGTGGAAACTAATCAAGGAGAGAAGCAACTTAGAACTAAGGAGAAATTTCCTGACAGTTAGAACAATTAATCAGTGGAACAACTTGCCTCCAGAAGTTGTAAATGCTCCAACACTGGAAGTTTTTAAGAAGAGATTGGATAACCATTTCTCTGAAATGATATAGGGTTTTCTGCCTAAGCAGAGGATTGGACTAGAAGACCTTCAAGGTCTCTTCAAACTCTGTTATTCTATGATAGAAGTAGATAATGAGATATTTCCTAAATACTGACTGTGCCAAGAGGATTTTTTTATGTAGAAGTTACTTCCTAATTAACTAACACTTTAGCCCCCCTTTCAGTGCAATGTATTTCCTGTATCAGGTGAAGGGTTTGTATCTTTGTCTTCTGACTTGTCCCAACCAAGCAAAATGTGTAAGTTTTCCTTCTTCCTAAGAAGGAAGAAACTTAAGCTTGCCAGTCTGAGTGAATTAGGCTGACTAATGGAGCCATCAATCATAAAATGGTGACCCTTAAAACTTACCATAAAACTTAGTTAATCTTTGAAAGAAGAATCTCACTTTCTCCAGCTCGGTGTTGGTTTTGAGTTCTCTCAGGGAGAGAGAAGAGCTTATCCTTCCTTCTTCAGGATTAATTCCAAGGAATCTCCTCAGTATGTGGGTTTAGTCCAGCTGCTCCTGTATTTCCAGTGGAACTGGGTTGGGCTTGTGGCCAACAAAGCTGACAGTGGAGAACATTTCCTCTCATCTCTGATGCCAATGCTCAAGGAGAAGGAGATCTGTGTGGCCTTCACTGAAATGTTGAAATCGGATGATTTTTTCAATACATGGAAAAGATTTATTCTTTTTTTAAAAAACTGTTGTAAAGCTGAAGTGATTATGCTCTTTGGAGACCCTCATACTAATGCGAATATACAATCAGCTTTGCATTTTCACATAACGTCAACAAAGTCAACGCTTCAGAAAGTTTGGATCCTAACTTCCCAATGGAAACATAATGTGGGGGCAGTTAAAGATGCATTTCCACTTATAAAGCCCTTCCATGGGGCTTTGCAGTTAAGGGACCACACAGGGGATATCTCAGAATTCAGCCATTTTCTCACATCTTTAGACCCTTTGCACCCAAAAGGGGACATCTTCCTCCCACAGTGGTGGGAAAAGGTCTTTGACTGCAGATTTCACAAACCAGGAATATTCATTCCAGAGATGATAAAGAAATGCACAGGAAAGGAGAATGTACAAAATGTTCCCACTCACATTTTTGAAACAAGCATGACAGGTGAAAGTTACAATGTCTACAATGCCATTTTTGCTCTGGCACATGCATTACATGCGATGTTTGGATCCAGAGCCCAACAATCCATGATGAGGCTTGAAAAGAGGATCTCAGATGTCCATTCATGGCAGGTAATCTATGTAATTTTTTATTTAATCCACAGAGCCCCAGAAAGAAAGTTTCCTGTATGTATTTCTTGAGCTCACTGATTCAATCTCTGTATGCTGCCATATCTGTACATCTCAGAACAGCTTAAAGAATTATTTTAAAACAGGATAACAATATGAAATAAGGACCATTGAGTCAAGAAGGACTAGGGCAGTGGTGAAATCTAAAATTTGTTACTACCTGTTCTGTGGGCGTGGCTTGGTGGTGTTTGGGTAATGTGACTGGGTGGGCGTGGCCAACTTTCTTTTTTTTTTTTACTTTTAAAACCATTTTTTTCTACAACCGCTTCGGCGAAGAGGTTGTAAAAAAATGATTTTCATAGGCTCTGACGATCCCAGCTGAGTTTCCTGATCGGCAGAGGCTTTTTTTATTTTAAAAGTCTCTGATGATCCTTCTTCTCTTCGGCCGAAGAGGTTGTAGAAAAAATAATTTTAAAAGCCTCTGACGATCCCAGTTGTGCCGCACAATCATCATAGGCTTTTTTTTTACCTTTAAAAGCATTTTTTCGGCCAAAGAGGTTGTACAAAAAATGCTTTTAAAAATTAAAAAAAGCCCCTAAAGATCACATGGCTCAGCTGGGCAATGGGGGGGGGCAGGTATTTTTGCTACCTGTTGTCTGAACCACCCGCCTCTATCGCTACCGGATTGGGTGATCCGGTCCGAACCGGGAACATTTCACCCCTGGACTAGGGGTGACATGATAGCTATCTTCCAATATTTGAGGAGCTGAAGGGTCAATCTATTCTCCAAAGCACCAGAAGGCAGGATAAGAAGCAATGGACATGAGGAATACTTCTTCCAGTTTTGGTCACCACAGTATAAAAAAAATGTTAAGATTCTGGGTTTGGCTAGTCTAAAGAAAAGAAGGACTAGGAGAGACATGATAGCACTATTCCAGTATTTGAGGGGCTGCCACAAAGAAGAGTGGGTCAAATTATTCTCCAAAGCACCAGAAGGCAAGACAAGAAACAATGGATGGAGATTAATCAAGGAGAGAAGCAACCTAGAACTAAGGAGAAATTTCCTGATATTGGGAACAATTAATCAGTGGAACAGCTTGTTTTCAGCGTTGGAAGCCATATTAGACCAGAAGCTTCCATGCTGCCACCTTCTCATGGGTGGGAAAGTAGGAGGGGAGATTTAGTAGAGGGGTTGTTTGTAGACGTAGTAGCATTCTTCCTGTCAGTCAAGGTCAGGGTGATCCGGCATCTGGAGAAGGAGTGGTCGGAGTGCTGAGTCCAGATGGGACGGATGTTGATTGGAGCATGTGATCAACTGAGGAGTGAGGGGATGGTTTGGGAGGTTTTGATTTACTGAGGGAAAACCCAGACTTCTCAGATTCGGGTTTTCCCAGATGTGCCAGTTTACCTATTCTAGTAAAGAGAACTTTGGAAAATGCTTGCTTCCACGTCTTTACTCGGAGTGGGAGTTTTCTGGAACGCTGACACTTGTCTTCAGAAGTTGTGGGTGCTCTATCACTGGAGGTTTTCAAGAAGAGATTGGACAACCATGTGCCTTAAATGGTATAAGAATTCCTGCTTGAGCAGAGGGCTAGATTAGAAGCTCTCTGAGGTCCCTTCTAACTCTATTATTCTGTACACTGTTTGGTTGAAATGGGGTAGAAGGGTGAAAAGAGAAGTAAACCACAGCAGTTATCCATAAGATCAAAAGAGGAAAGACCTTCCTATCAGGTCCTAAAAACTTTTCAGCAGTTCCCTGAGTTTCAGGAGGTGGCCATTCCAAGAAGGATGTGTCAGTGGAGAGCAAGATGACAATACGGACGCTTTTGTGCAAGAATTTCAACAGATTAGTTATAGCCCTAGTGGGCATATTTGCAGAACCATCTCAGTTTCCCTCACTAATGTAGCCTGAATCCAAGCTCTAAAAACACCTTCAACTCAATCTCTCTTAACCGTGGTTTATGTTTTATGTGGCTTAGAATCCTTTATGACTGCGCATTATTTGTTTTCTTAGTCATTCGTTGTACCGCTAAGCTTATTGTGTGGAAACAGTTTTTGTCAATCTCGGCATACAGAGTAGGTTTCAAAGATGTCCTAATGGGTCCTAGTCTGAAATTTATGGGATATTTCTTCATCAAAGACTAAATGTTGGACCACTCTAGATAGTGAAGTGATAGAACGAAGCCGAAGACACCAGCCTGAAGATGACAAATGAGACTTCGTCAAAACATTGCCAAGACACCACCAATTTTACGCGGGAGAAAACCCGAATAACCAAAGACCTACATACAAACACCACAAAAACCTCAGAAAACATATATATATATATATATATATATACCCAAGTATCACAAGAGCAATACCATACAAAAAAATTTGGAATACAGAATTAAAAACTTCATCTGTAGGTATCATTCCAGTATAGCCGAAAGAGAAGAAGCCATGATACAAATGTCCAAAGAAAAACTTTTGTAATGCTGGGAAAGGAGCCAAATATTTGATTTGACTCCTGATTACTCGGATCTCCATCAAGGGAACGTGTCTAACTGGCCTTCTCAAGAAACCAGCACTCTTGAAACAAGCAGCATTTCAAAAGGAATTTTTATTGGAAGACAGTGATTGCAGAGAAAGTGTAGGCATAATGTGAAATTTGCATGCTGGAGTGTTAGGTTAAACTGCTTCTTTTGAGGTGCCTCCCAATGTCAAGTTCATCTTTGAACCAATCCCAAGGTGCGAACCAATCCCACCAGAATGCCAAGGTCCCCATAGAGATCAATGGGACCTGACACAGAATGAGAGAAGCCATAATGTCTCATTTGTGACTTTCTGATTAATTACTTTAATTTCTGAATGTTTCTTTTCTTTCAGATCCTTGCCTATTTGAGGAATGTGCACTTCAACAACAGTGCTGGAGATGAAGTCTCCTTCTCAGAAAATGGACTCGGGTCTGCTCGATATGATCTTCTCAACTGGGTTTTCCTCCCCAATCAATCTTTTGTCCCTGTGAAAGTTGGGCAAGTAGATGCTGGGGCTCTCCCAGGCCAAGATTTCATCATTGACTCTGATGGAATCGTCTGGGCTACAAAGGTGAGATGGAAGGAAATGCTGTAAATTTAGGGAAAGATTCATTCTTTCCTGGGGAGGCAGAATATCCTTCTAAGTGGAAACAGAACTATTGAATTACAAATCATGCGGACATTTGGTGAAAAAACCTTTGCATGTAACACAATTGAGGTAGATATGTGGCCGATCTACAACGGTTTGGGATTGGAAAGGACTTCTTCTTGAAACGTAGAATGCAATTGGAGGACACAAAAACAAAATTTCCATGGACCATTCCTGTTCAGTAGGATCTTCATGAATCTTTCTTAAACAAAGCTCAATGCTTCCCCCCCCCTTTATCTCAAGACTGAGCTCCCAGTTCCAATCTCCAGTATCTATTGTTCGGTCAGGAATGCTACTGGCCTTAATCCCTCAGGAGATGTTCCTGATATCTTGTAGACAACGGTGAACCATTTATTTTGAACATGGAAAAAGAAATGTGGAAATCAATAATGAAGTATGTTCAATGCTTAGACTATCTCAAGCATTTCTCTTTTCTCTTTTAGAAGGTGCCCTTTGCCAGGTGTGGCATGAAGAGGTGCCAGGCAGGAGAGAGGAGAAGAGTTCCAGAGGGCAAGCAGGTTTGCTGCTACCAATGTGATCCTTGTCCAGAAGGGACTATTTCTGATCAGAGAGGTAGACCACCTGTCAAAATTAGGTCTTCCATGAACAAGCAAACCATTCAGCAGATATTAATATTTGTTCACGTTAATTAATTCTTGGTAGGATTGACATGCTTCAAAGTATCCATAATTCTCATCTTAGTTTATGCATTTTAGTTTATGGAACTAAGATCAGCCTACAGGCTGACTTCCTTCTCCTAACCAACTTAATGCAGGGTAATTTCAGTAAAAAACATAAGGGAACCCTACTAGCCTTTCTTCCCCTACTTTCATATCCCTTTGGAAGAATAGCTACCAATCTTTTCATAAAGGACAGGAATGTGAGGTTCAAGCTTTAATTTTTATTATTTAGGTGGTTCTTTTTTCAGCATTACTAATCTCCCAGGAAATTGATAGATCTATAGGAAAAATAAGAGATTGATCTATTCCTAGTTTCTCTCACTCTGAAATGTACAGTAGGCATTAATGTGCCCAATGATTGGAGAGACCTTTTATTCCAGAGAAAACAGATCAAACAACTGAGGCTGAACAGATTCTTATCTTTAACCTACCCTCAATGTCGTCATGAAGGGTTATTTCCTCCTTTTTTTCAAAAAAAATTCATTTATATTTATTGAGAGTTTTGCATACAGTAAAAGTCAAATACAAAGAAAACTTAGAAAGAAAGAAAAAGGTTCAAGAAAAAAAGTTTTTTCCTCTCTGACCAAACAAATTAACTTTGCCATCTCAGCAAAAGTTCTGACATTTTCACAATCCATTCCTCCACTGTGACAATTTCATTATTCTTTCATTGTTGAGCATATAGTCTTGCTGCAGTTACCATATACCAGGGGTGTCAAACTCCATTTCTTTTTTTTTAATATTTCTTTTTTAATTTTTATTAATTAGAAAGTACAAACATAGATATAACAATAAAACATACACAACAAATTAACATGAATCAAGTCTTTACGACTTCCTTTTCTAACTTGTTGAATCGATAGACAATATTTGTGTACTTATCCATGTATCCATATATTTATATATATAATAATATATATATATATGTTTATAATTCTTCTTTGATGTAATGCTAAATGATAATCTAAATGATAATCTGCTTCTTGCTTTTCCTTTATTTCCTTTGTAAGTTTGTCCATTTCTGCACATTCCATCATTTTGCTGATTATTTTATCTTCTGTTGGTTTATCTTCATGCTTCCAATTCTGGGCAAAAATTATCCGTGCTGCTGTTAGTATGTGAATAATTAGATATTTTATTTCTTTTTCGTAATCTCCTGTAATTATTCCTAATAGGAAGGTTTCTGGTCTCAGTTCTATTTTCTGTATAATTTTCTCTATTTGTATCTTGATTGCTTGCCAAAACTGTTTTCCTTTCTGAGAAGACCACCACATGTGGTAGTAGGTTCTTTTTTGCAATTTGCATTTCCAGCAAGTTTGGGAGGTATTCGGAAACATTCTTGCTAAACAAGCTGGGGGGGGGGAGGTGCCACCCATAGAACATTTTGTACATGTTCTCTTCCTCTTTTTGATCCACTATGTAATACACATAGTTCATTCCGTCACTAAGTCTGCCGGTTGCCCACAGGAGAAAGGAGGCGGTCATGTCACCCTGATGGGAGGGATAAGACATATGGCAGATGCCCCTGAAATCCTTAAACAAAGACTCTTGATTTCAGATGCTGCCCACTGTGACCTCTGCCCAGAAGACCGATATCCCAATCAGCACAAGGACCACTGCATTGCCAAGAGGATCCACTTCCTTGCCTATCAAGACACCCTGGGATACACTTTATTATGTCTCGCTCTTTTCCTCTCTATGATCACATTGGCAGTGCTGGTGATTTTCCTTAAACATCACGAAACACCGATTGTCAAGGCCAACAACCGAGATCTCACCTACATCCTCCTGGTCTCCCTAATGCTCTGCTTCTTCTGCCCCTTCCTCTTCATTGGTCGACCCAGAAAGCTCACCTGTCTCTTCCAACAAACTTCATTTGCCATCATCTTTTCCTTTGCAGTTTCCTCTGTCTTGGCAAAAACTGTCACGGTGGTTCTGGCCTTCATGGCCACTAAACCTGGGAACAAGACAAGGAAACTCTTAGGAAAACCACTGACCAACTCCATTGTCTTAGGCTGTCCCCTGATCCAAGCAGGTTTTTGTGCCACCTGGCTGGCAACCTCTCCTCCATTTCCTAACTTGGACTTCCACTCTTTGATAGGAGAGACCATCTTGGAATGTAATGAAGGCTCAGCTTCAATGTTTTATGCTGTCCTTGCCTATCTGGGTTTTTTGGCCCTTGTCAGTTTCACAGTGTCTTTTCTGGCCAGGAAATTGCCTGACAGCTTTAATGAAGCCAAATTCATCACTTTTAGCATGCTAGTCTTTTGCAGTGTTTGGATCACTTTCCTCCCCACCTATCTGAGCACCAAGGGAAAGTCCATGGTGGCTGTGGAGATCTTCTCCATTTTGACCTCTGGAGCTGGTCTTTTGGTTTGTATCTTTTCCCCCAAATGCTACATTATCTTATTGAGGCCCCATCTGAATTGTAGGGAAAATATAATGAAGCACAGAAATCTCTGATTTATATGGGGTTTGGGAATTTTTATTTTGGCTTGGGTGTATTTTGACAGTTGTCCCCAGAGAAGACTTGGTAATGAACATGGAAATCAACATTGAGATTAAATAAGTGGATAATAATTTCCACCTGTACAGTTTCTTCATTTATTTTTTATCAAATCATTTTTAAAAAATGGGTTGGATTCATTATCTATGTTTTTAAACATGTTTCTTTTCATAGAGCTCTGAGGTTTTGTTTAGTTCACACTTCCGTGCTATCCAGGGTGCACCACGAGGAGGTGAACTGACATCACACTCTGCCATCATCCCTGATTAGCAACTATAGGTCCCAGTTTGAGCAAGTTGGAAGAAAAGTTTCCAACTCCATCTGAGTACAGGCTCCCCACAGGACTGTGTCTTGTCCAGTACTCTTCACTATGATCACCCATGATTGCTGTGCCAAATCTGCTATGAATCATATTGTGAATTATGTGGATGACTCGGCAGTGGTGGGTCTTACCCAAGATAACAGTGAAGATGCTTATACGGAAGAGGTGAAAGCTCTGTTGGACTTGTGCAAGAAAAGTAACCTGGTTCTAAATGTTAATAAAACAAAGGAGGTCATTGTAGAATTTATAAAGAGCCTGCATGGTCATACTCCACTCAGTATCAATGATGCCACTGTAGAGGTGTTATCTGTGAGTGCCGATAACCAACAAACTGAACTGGTCTCTCCAGACATCATCCTTACTGAAGCGGACAAACCAGAGTCTGCATTTCTTGCATCAGAGGAGAAGAGCACATCTTTCTCCTTCTGTCCTGGCCACTTTTTACAGCAGTGCCTCAGATAGAAAGTCCCTAAAGAGAGTGGTGAGGACAGTGGAGAAAATTATAGGAAGGTTGCTTCCCATTATTCAGGATGCTGCTTTAGGCGCTCTGTGCTTAGAGCTCAAAGCATTGTCAGACATCCCACACACCCACTCCAGGGTCTGTTTCTGTTGCTCCCACTGCTACCCACTGGGAAGGGGTTTCAAAGTATTTCTAGAAGGACTACCAGATTCTGTAACAGCTTTGTTCCTTAGGCTATCCATCTGGCAAACTTGCAAGATTAGTTTTTCATGCCATGTACATGTATTCATCCAAACTAGATTGTGTTATTTCTCTGTCGTATAATATATGTGGGTATATGCATATTTATTTATGTGTGTATGTATATATATATATAACATATTCATTTCATCATGTAGTGTGTATTGGGATAGTAACCCTTTGAGAACTCTATGCAATGAAATTTCATTTTAATATATGCCGATTAGCCTACATTCAAAGAGACAATAACGATATTCTAAGTCATATCTGAACAAATTATGACACAATTGCTCAGTTTCATGTAATTCAAACACCCAACTTCACCTTGACTCTCAAGTCAATTTGCTCTATGAATCAGCAACAAGAGATATAAACATGTTTTTCCCCTTCTAGCGCCAAGACAATATGTCAGAACAGTAAATGTTAATGTATCCCCTGTAGATTTCTACCCTCACAAATCTTTCAAGTTAAAACCTGTTATAAAAAAATATGCCCCTAGTTCTCCCAGTGGAGACAGGACATGTCTGTCACCTACTGTTGTCTTGCAAATAGCAAACTTCTGGGTTTGCTGACACTCAGCTGGCCATTGCTATTTCTTTGGCCACAGCCAGAACCCAGATAAGAGGAAACATGGTTGATATAAATTTTCCCTGTGGCCATCCAGGGAGAATGGGTGGTGTCTATTGTGCTAAAGCTTTGGTGAGATTTCAAGTGCTACCTGCAAGTTGGCTTCTCCAAAAACCTTGACTGATGATCTAGGTGGGAAGGTGACCAGAATGACTGGGCTGCCTCTCCTCCTCCTCCTCCTGCTCTTCTGGCTCCTGCCTCCAACTGCTGCTAAGAAGATGCAAAGTGTATGTGTGTTGAGGAATTATTTCCAGTCACAGGAAAGCTACTATAGGCCTGGTGATCTCATTATTGGTGGAAATGTGCACCTGAAATTAATTGGTCGTTCTGTCATTACAGACTTCCAAAAAGACCCATTCTTGCTTTTTACAAACCTGCGAATTGTGTAAGTCTCACCTGGAGGGGTATGATGTAGATAATTATTTCTTTGTTTTAAATTCAGGGACTCTTTTGAAAAATGCCTGTTCTGGCATCTAGTTCAAATCTTTGTTCTTTCCTCTGTAAAGAGCCTAATTCTTAAAATAGGTAAAATTCTCTATAGAGAAGATTTCCTCAGTAAAGAATAAAAGTGAGGCAGGACAAGAGCTTAGAAATTGTGCTGGCCTAGTGAAGAAGTTGAGTTCTAATATTAATTTGGAGAGAAGGTCCTGGATAAGCTTAAAGAGAAGCTCAACTCTTTTCAAGGGTCCAGGAGTTGCATAAAAACTGCTCAGTTTTTGAATCAGCAGGGCTGACAATCTTTAACAAATACAGTAGTGGCCAAAACTGTAGAAACCTTTTGAGAAAAGTGTATTTTTTAGGTCTGATGGCTAATGACACCACTTTTTTTTTTTTTTTGAGTTTCAGGGTAACAATATTCCATTGCTGGAATGTCCTGGGAATAGCCTAAACCTTCACCCAATGGAAAATCTATGGAGCTGACTAAAGAAACTTGTTAGTCAAAAGTGACCCAAAAATTAAACAAAGTTACTAGAAGCAACCATTCAATCTTGGTTTCACATTATAACAGCTGCAGAACTAAAAGACTTGGCTTACTCCATGGGAAGATGTTGTAAAGCCTTAATTCAGTGGTGGGTGGCCCCCGGTTCAGACCAGTTCACAAGAATCGGTAGTAAAACCACGGGAGGCCCCGGCAACTGCCCTGTATGTTGTCATCAATGGTCTGTGCATACGTGCAATCCTGTTACGAACTGGTGGTAAAGGTAAATAGAACCCACCCCTGCCTTAATCCATGCTAAAGGTTACCCAACTAAGGATTAACTGACATGGTGATAATTTTTTTTTTAATTGAAAAAGTTTTACAAATACAAATTTTTCCTCCTTTCCCCCCCCCTTCCCTCCCTAGCTCTCCCTTACCCTTCCCCCCCATGGCTTCCCCAGGATGAAATCCAAATCCAAATCCTATTATATAATACTTTCCTGCCCATCTACTCTACCCCCTGTGTGGTATACATTTCTTCCTGACATTCTAGTATACTATCCCCTGTAAACCATACATTTCTACACAACATTCAACTAAAGATTATCTGGTACTTCCTAGTTTAGTATTTATTCTGCACATAAACTATCCATGTCCTCCACTCCCTTACATATATCTCTTGTGTCCTTTCTTTTATATATGCTGATAACTTCACCATTTCTGCGAAACTGGCCACCTTCAGAGTCCATTCTTCAATAATAAACATAACATCCCTTTTCCAGTATTGAACAATCAGTAACCTAGCTGCAGTCACCATGTACAATATCAATTTTGTTTCACCCACTTTCCCGCAGGTCCACCATATATAATAATTTATAAAATCTAAACAATCACATCAAGTCCTTCTTCCAACAGTGTATTTAGTGTCTTTAGTTGCCATCTGCCCCCATCATTGAAGAGTACTTTTATATATAACCCCCCCCAAGTGACTTTATATTTATATTCCATATGATATCTTCTGTAAAGTCTTTCATCTAGATTATTAATTCCATCGACCATTTTAGGGTAACAACCAGATCAACTGCAAATGCCCTTGTTCTGTAGTCCTCTTGCCTCATGACTATTCCCTTCAACGTACTCATAATCCATCTTTCTTAAAATCTACAATAGAAAGTTCCAATTCACTCAATTACAGGCCTTCTCCACATCCTAGAACACCAGCACTGCAGGGATCTGTTTATTCTTCTCAAGATAGTCCAATAAATCTATAATTTGCCTCACATTATCTTTCATATATCTGCCTTCTATAAATCCTGCTTAAACATGAATCAGTTCTTGGATAACTGGCATTGATCTGTTGGGTAATAACTTTACAAAAATTTTATAATCCATATTCAAAAAAGATATTGGTCTAAAATTTTCTAGTTTTGTGGAACCTACTTCTTTTCTTGCCATGTGCTGGTTTAAACCTCTGCTGTTGTTGTTTTTCTGGAATTTGTTTGTATGCTGTTCGAGTTATATGCTGATCTTGAACTTTGTAGGACATCAGATCAAGATCCAAAGCCACTTCTCTTGTATTTTTAGGTGGTCCACCTATAACCTTTAAAGGATGATCCGAGGACGGGTCATCCAAAAAGCCCCCTGTGGTTCCTTGTATTTCCATTGGCTCCACCTCCATCTGCTTCCACTGGACTTCAATCTCTTGTTCAATTTGCTTTTCTTTATCTCCCTCCTGTATTCCTGACGCTGAAAATATACATGGAGATGTTGGGCCAATTTTAAAAACATTGCGATAAAATTCTTCCGCTTTTTCAACAGTATTTAATCGATATCTTTCTCCTTGATACGTCAATCTTATGCCAACTGGAGCATCCCATCTATAAGGAATTTGTTGTTTCTTTAGTTCAGTCACCAAAAATCCAAAATCTTTTCTGTCTTTTAGCATCTTAGGCGGCAACTCTTTATAAATCCCAATCTGCCTTCCATCCACTTGTAGGGTAGAAACAAAAAACTTTTGCAAGATGTCATTTCTTATTCTTTTATCTGTAAAGTATATCACTACATCTCTGGGCAATTGCCTTTGCCTTGCCACCCAAGAATTCACTCTGTAAATCTTGTCAATTTTGGACAAAACCACTTCAGGGCTAACCTTTAATATCACAGCCAAAGCATCAGCACAAATCCTTCTTAAATCTCTGTTGTTTTCCTTTATCCCCCTCAATCTTACAGCAAATTCCATAAATTTGAATTGCATCATTGTCACTTCATATTCAATCCTTTGCATTTTATTATCCACATTATAGATCTTATAATCAGCTTCCTTCATTTTAGACTCCACTTCTAAACTGATTTCTTCCATTTTTTTTGTCAATCTGGACAATTACTTCTGAGAAGCCAGTCAGGACTGTCAAAATATCTCACTTCATTTTATCATACTTTTCTTGAACCACCTCCTTAATTTCCTGTTGAAATTTCTCAAACTTCTGGTCCATAACCACATCTTGTCTCATCAGAGTCGCAATAATAAATTCCTTCAAGTCTTTAAAATCAATCTCCTGTCTCTGGCTCTGAGTCTGCAAGCTTAAAAACTGCTCTTGTGACTTATGAATAGGGGAACCCCCCACCCCCCCATACAGCTTTGTTATCTGGCTTTGAAGCCATTCTGCCACGCAGACAAACTCTTTTTAAGAAGGAAGTCTTCTCTCCCTTCTCACCAGCACAAAATCCTCTCAGAGTTAAACAAGTCTCTAAGGGAGATAGAACATAAAGACAGTTTGGGGAAAAAAAAAACTTTTCCCTTCTCTTCTAACCAGCGCTGTTATTTTAGATACTTTGTAGCATACTGAGACAATCAGGCAAGTCCACTTTCACTTTCAGCTTTTTTTTTCTTTTCAAGTAGTTAAAGCCGGATGCCAGACATGGTGATAATTTTTGTGTATCTCGTTTTTTCTACAAGTTTCCCTTTTCTTCTTTATCCATTAACTGCTACTCTAATAACAAATCCTTCATAAAAGTTATTGCCTTACATTCTTGATTAAATTAACTTCCCATTGATATATAATTTTACGGTACTACTCCAAAAAAAGTGGGCTTATTAGGTAGTTTTAGAAAATACACTTTCCCCAAAAGGTTTCCACAATTTTGGCCACTACTGTAGATGCTGGGACACCCACTGAAGAAGCTGCTCCAAGAGAGAACCAAATTAATTGGGGTGCTAGTAGAATGGGGAAGGATTACAACCACTGCAGCAAAGTGAAGAGGGAAAGTTCTTTAGAAGGTATAAAATGTTCTGTGATGTGAAAAGAGACACTTTTCTCCTTTCTCACAAAGTCATACAAGTTTCATCAAGAAATGTCTAAGGGCTCAAACCAATGAAACTTGGGACTTCTGACTCCAACTGACACTAGGGAAAAAAAAAGGAAAGGCAAATACAACAGCATGACCTTTTCTGAAAATTTCCCCCATGATTTTTCTCACAATAGACTCATAGCCAAGAGCTACCAGCAGTTCCTGGCCATGGTATTTGCAGTTGGAGAGGTCAACAAGGATCTGGTTCTCCTCCCCAATATCACACTGGGGTTCCA